AAAACAAGAATATAGTCCCAATACTCCCCAAAAGGGGAGTGATTAGTAAAATATCCATTTAAGAAAAAGAAAATCTGTTTACAGTTCTGTTTCATATGGGTGTTGAGAGATGTATCCAGATCTCTTCATTTTGCTCTCAAAGTGCACCAGATTGATGCTTTGAACTTCAATATGTTATACATATATGTATTTACATTAATGGGAAACCCTAAATGTTTGAGCACCCTCTATGAAATGTCAAGCTACCCCACAGCACCCCCAAAAGAAAATCTCTGGCGCCGCCACTGGCCGCGGCACATGACGGTTTTGTGTGCCCTCCCATGAAAATCATATGCCCTCTCTGTAGATTTGTTCTGGCGCCGGGTCTGCGCACACATTGAATACAAAACTACTCTGAGCATGCGCAGTGTAGTTTTTACAGTACACGTTCATTTTAACAGCAGAAAGAGGGGCTGGCCCCACATCGCTCAACACGGCTCAATAGGCACACTGTAGAGTCGACACTAATTAGAAAAACGCAGACTAAAACAGCAATGTACAGACGAATCAGATGACTAAACATGATCTTAAAATATATTTTAACTAATGCTGTCAAAATTATCGCGTTAACGGCGGTAATGAATTTTTTGAATTAATTGTGTTAAAATATTTAACACATTTAACTTATGTGCAGAATGGCCCGCCCCATACACCCCACCAGTGGCAGCGCCAGGGTATGGCTGGGGTAGGCTACACCCATACCAAGAAATGGCTTAGCCCCACCATGAAAAATGATGTTAAAGTAAGCAAAATAAAGTCCGCCAACTCGCGCCGAGAATTGCACAGACAGCAGTTAGTAAGATTGATTTCAGTAGCCACTTGTTTGGAAATACCGAAGACCAGAAACGGTTTTGAAAACTTTTGTCACGTAGTGATCGTCTTCTCAATAGAACATCTTTGATAATGTCTTCTGGCCAATCAGAATCAAGATAACGGCGTGGTGTTGTTGCAGGTGTCAGTACCATGGATGTATAATAAGAACTGGATACAGCGTGGGAGGCGGGGCCTCATTCATTCCTATGAGAGCTGTTCATTAGCGCATGATGATAAAATGGCCCAACTTTTGAGAGAGTGAAACGTCACAGATTACCCAGCATGCCTGAGAAGTACCCGTATGTGCACTCATAGAGCATGCGCAACTTTAACCAAAATGCTCGTTCACATCAAGCACGTCAATTTGCGTACACGTAACAGCACCGCGCGTTCATGACAGCATGGTAATGGATGTTGTTATCATGGATTTGATATGAACGAGGCGGCAGTTAGCGGCTAGCTAGTAATGATGCTAATGTACACATCAATCGTTATGTACTTATATTACGCTGTAACAGGATCTAGTGATATCCAACAGAGCTTCATTTAGCATGAAATTATTATTGCACTGTATATATATATATTTATATACAGTGCAATAAGCTTCTTAGTGCAATACGAAGCTACAGGGACGTTAATAATGTCGGTAATATTAACTTTATTTAATACAACATTTACGGTACAAGATTTAATCATACAGCCCATGTATGATAATGAATTACAGCAAACATGTGCAATATATCCATTATTACAGCTCCGTGGGATGGCAGTAAGACGATATGGATCCGTTCTTATTGTGCATCCATGGGTAAAGATAAACGCAACTCACATTGGTTTCTCATACAGCATCTCTGTAAACTACGTGTATTCACTGAATTTCACTCTCTGCCTTTAACGGCTCGTTGTAGCTCCAATAGCTCCAGCCCCACCCTCCCTGGGAGCACAGTGTGCTCTGATTGGTCGGAACACGTAACATGAACGTGCCGGGCGGCGCGGTCCCGTGGGTTAGATGCGCGTTCATAATGCAGAGGGAAATAACTCTCAGAATAACATTATTAGCTAATTTTTACAACTTGAGGAACGAATGTTTTTAATAAGGGCTATACATGTGTTCATACTGGGTAGTTTATTTAGTTTAAAAAAAATTATCCAACGAGTTACAGACCACTCTTTCCCCATGTAAGTCAATGGGAAAAAGTGTTTCCGGGCCTGGCAACCAAACGGAAGTGTAGTACTGCCGTTTGGCCAGCACGAATATTTTCATCTGAGTCCGGCGCACTTCCTGGGGGCTTGGCAGAGGGAGGTGAGTATATGACGGATGACGGATGCGACGGAATTACACCCGAACATATCTGGTAGCCCGAACATATCTGGTACTGACATCGGCAGTCTCGTGCGCTGTTCACATGTCAGCGGTGTTTTTCGCTCATGACTGGTGCAGAAAACTCTGAATTATATCCGCGAAATCACGCAAAACATGGGTTATTGTTGTGCTTTCGGATGTACGAACGGTGCGGGATCTGGGAGAAGTTTTCCACCACCCCGCCCTTGTGGGCGAGGTTTGTCAATGTATGTGAATCCTGCTGGGGTGATTTGATTTAAACTAAAATAGTCCAGGGGTTTTTGCCATGTTTCAGTCAGATACAGAAAGTCCAGGTTATTGTCTTTAATGAATTCATTCAGAATGTGGCTTTTATTGTGGATGGAGCGTGTGTTGAGCAGGGCTGCTCTGAGGTGACGTTGCATTGGGGGGGGGTTGTGTGGACCGGGGGAGTGGAAGGAGATTGGTCAGATTCACGTGTTGTTTGTTGTGATGGCGTAGTGTGGGCGTGTGACAGGACCGAATGGACGGGATGGAATGTGGAGACGTGGAATTAAATAAAAACTTACGGCCAGAGCCTCTGTGTGGAGGACGGCGTTTGCGGAGTATTTCATTATCTGCGAGGATGTCCATGCAGTCCAGACGCAGGCGGTTATTAAAGGAGTGGAGATCTGACAGGGAGTAGAGCGGCGGCATGATCCGGTGAAGTGGCGCTAGCACGGAGCTAGCTAATGCTGGGGACCCGGGCAGCAGAGACCAGGAGCCGGATGACCGTGGAAGAAGGAGCGGTGTGAGTCCAGATAAAATGAGAATTATAATCCACAGCATATCAGGAGAATAATTCCAGTGGTTTCCAGAGGAGAATCGTAGGAGGGGCTGACAGCCTGGTGCAGAGTGGGAGCCGGGTGACCAGCCTAGCTGGTTAGCTAGCTTGATAGCCACCGGCTGTAGGCGGCAGGGAGAGACGATGTCAACGGGGAAGCCGGCTGATCGCAGCGGGATGGGAAGACCCACACGAGCCGCGGAATTAGGGTGGAGTTGGGGTGGAGACAGAAATGTTAGCTCAGCAGACTTCAGGGAGCCGAGGAGCATCTAGGTAGCAGCCTGCTAGGTCCGATAATGCTAGCTAGCAGGCTAGGGACCGGTGAGCAGGAAAGAGCCAGCAGGTAGGAGATGACAACACAAAGATCTGTGTCGATTCGATATAGAGATGCTGCTATTTTTGCTGATGACTGACGTTTCAAAAGTAGAGAGCCAGACAGGAGAGGTTCTGATCTGGACTAAAGAACAATATTTGGGGCGGAGGAGCGGCGAATAAACAACGCCAGCACCCTCGGCGACCCGGGAAAAATAATCACCTACAATCAGTTAATAAAACTAACGAGTCAAAATACTTTAGTGGTTTTAGTGGTTGGATGTCGACAACATACTCCAGATCTTGGGTGGCCTCCGACTCAAAATCAGACATGATAACGAAACTAAGTTGTACTATCGGCGGAAGCAGCTGTGAGCGATAAGCCAGGTGGAAATATGTTTGTACACTCTGACGTCACGCGCAGCGCCATCTTGCGGAGACGAGCGTATTTAATGGCTGAGAAATAAATCGTCGGACTTGGTGTTGGGGGTTGAACAAAATAAATATTACGCATTGCCAGACGCATATTATCTCCGCTTTTAATACTGCAATATCTTAGATAGTGTTGTAGCTATATGATTTCGATTTTACTGGCAATTATAAAAAAATCTTTGCATTTGATCTTTAAGGCCAGGGGTGGGGTGGGTGTCCCAGTAGAACAAAGCATCTAATTTCCCCCTCCTCGTCCTCCAGCTCGTCTGAAGAAGGAGGTTTCAGAGGATGCAGACAGATATGGGGGAGGGCTCCTATATCCCAGGACCTGGGGAGAACCCTCTGTACACGGCCGAGCCCCTCACCCTGGAGGACCTGAAGCTGCTGTCGGAGCTCTTCTACCTGCCGTACGAACACGGCCCCACCGCCCGCACCCTGCTGCAGGAGCTGGACTGGCTCAAGAACCACAGCTGGGCCGAGACGGACAAGGTAGTGATGATTTTATATTTACTACCAAAAGCAGATAATGACCTTGGTTTTCTGTGGTTTCATGCGTTAACTGTGTTTTTTTAGACCGCGGAATGACCTCTACAACTACATCTGTGACATCAAGAGTGAGGTGGGCCTGGCTCGAGCCTACGTGAAAACACTCGGTGAGAGTTCACTCATCAAATCACACAGGATAGGGCAGCTGTAGCCATGTCAAAGGATAATCCCCCAATTTACTTTTTATACTAATTCAGCAATAATCATATTTTTGATGCACGCAAGAAAAACACAAAAGGAGACATGTCATGCTTTTCCGGTTATTATCCGTCCCCTAGTGTGTTATGAAGGTTCTCATGCATGTAAACGGTCTGCAGAGTCACAAACCCTCAAAGTACACCCTGTAGGCAGTACAACTCTAACACAGAGAAGACCTCCCCAAAACGCCTCGTTGGAGATTTCTCATGTTCTTCCTGGACATTGTGACGTCTGAACACCCAGTAGCCACGCCCAGAGCTATGACTAGGCTATGACGCACCCTCTGCTAGCCAAGCATATATACTGTTGGAATCTCATGTTCCGTTTTATTCTGTCATCACACAAAGTCTCATTATATTTTGCTGTTCTATAGGTTGTGTCTATCAGCCATGCATCACAATGAGAATGCTGACCGTGAGCAAGCTGCAGGACTACTTGTGCACAGATTGGCCTATCCATAAGCAAGGAGGGGAGAATGTACCGCAAAGCCTGTAAAGAAGGACCCTACATGCAGTAAGTTGTCAAATATTTGTGTTTTTATTACAAACATAACTTACATTTGAAATGATTATAGCACCAATGAACTGGCCAGATGTATGGAGAACCGGGATGACTGGAAGCGACGATGGAGGGCTCGTCTGAGGACGACCTAGAGCGATAGCCACACTGAATTATTTGTACAATGACGGAATAAAAGAAAAATGAATAACTGAATACAAATAATAAATTATTATATGAATGTTATATTTTTCAGTGTATGTGGGTGAGCTGATGAGGCTGGTGTTTGAAGAAGTCTTTGAGGACCCAACACCCTTTGTGGAGGAGATGAATAAAATCACCATCCCAAAGGACCTGTCCACTCAATTTGACAGGCCCTCAAAGGAGGAAGTGGTAGCCCGCCATGTCTCACGTTTCAGTCGAGGGGCGGTCGGAAGCCAACATACTGTCCAGCCAGATCAGGAAACTCCTGGCGTATCCGGCGGACAACACACGACGGAATGACCACTCTGATGCCTCGTCCTAAAAAGCCCCAGCACCAGCTTACAAAGCTGCGATAGGCAAGATGCTGGAAACGCCTATAAGGGGAGGAATGGATGATAAGATATATGTGCTGTCCTGTTTTTCACCCTTACCCTCTGGCTGCTTGAACAACTGAATTTCCCCACAGGGATTAATAAAGGTCCATCTTATCTTATACAGTGTACACATGATCATTTTGTACAGTTCAAAAAATAAAGTTTGATTGAAATACTTGGTAGCCTTTCTTCCCTGAATGATTTGCTCCTAGATAGCATATCATTCATATATAGCAAACCATGATTTGACTTTTCATCAAATACAGTAGTAGTTTATTACAGGTAAAAATAACTTACTCTTCTTCCGTTCTACGCCTCAAAGGTCCATAATCAAATCTATAAATGTTATGGAGGTTCTGCAGGGTGTATGGATTAAGACAGTTTGGCTCTAGTCCGGGGTGGTCAACCATGCACACAATAGGTTCTGGGACTTGCTTCATTCGTGTTACAACCTACAGGAAGACAAGATATTTGTAACATAACACGTTTAGCAATTAAATCCAACTATGGCGAGGTTTACAAAATAAACATTCAATTACTATAGAATAAATAAAAGGGCATATAATAGTCTATTGACTTGACAAGTATATAATGTGTGCTACTGTTGGTATTTATGTTGAATCTGTCACCTTTCTAATTTCCCTGCAACAGACGTTTTCCACTTCGGTAGGCATGACTGCGCAGTTTCCACACGTGCACCTAAATAACAACAGTTGTACAGTTTGGTCAGCGGTAGATAAATGATGCAGTTCTAGCTAAGATCTATACAAAATTAATACTTTCCACTCTGAAACCGCCTGCTCTAGTCTAGTTTGGGACGGTGGATCAGGTCCATCACGGTCCTTCTCACTTTCAGGATCGGACTCCGGTTCATACATATACGGCTGTACTGACGCCATTTCAAAACTGAAAGAACTGAACTGAAGCAGTGTTGCCAACTCCATAGTAAGGAAAGTAGCTATTGGCTGTCCGGAAAGTCGCCAGAAGTCGCTAAATGACGTCATCGCCTAATTTGCATATCATGTAATGGCGGCTGTAGGAGAGAGCATGGTAGAGGGGAGTACAAAAAACGTTCCCAACCCTTCAAGGATCAAATTCTGGACTTCTCCAGGAAAGCATCATGATGTTTAGCTTGTCACAGAGATGTTTAGCTTGTCACAGAGAGGCACACACACAGTGGACGAGGTGATTGAGTGACTGAGGCTGTGTGAGTCAAAGCAAAGCAAAGGCAGTTATTTATTATAGTGTGAAAGTGAGTGAAGAAACATTTACATTTTACATTTAAATCCCGCTCAAAACCAGGACGGCTTGGCAGTTGGCGCATGCGCAATTCATTTGCAGTCTCGACGCGAGGGAGTGTGGTTGTCTCCTCTCTGCTCTGACTGCAGAGCAGCTCTGCTGTGGCCAGGCAACTGTCAGTCTGAGCGCCTGTGAGTACTATGGGAGGGAGGCGGGGCTCACGGCAGCACCTGCGGCTCGTTAACTGCAGAACAATACGTGAGTCTCCAAACACCAGAAAAGTCGCTAATAACACCATTATAAATCGTTAGATTAGTCGTTAGTCGCTTTTGACACAAATAAGTAGCCGGAGGGTTTGGAAAGCCGCCAAATTTAACGACAAAACCGCCAAGTTGGCAACACTGAACTGAAGAGCCTCATGGGCGGAGCCTCTCTGGTGGTTGACTAATCAGAACAGAGTGGCCGAGCTGACCAATCAGAGCACACTGGGCTCAACAAGCCGTTTTAGGGCAGAGAGTGAATACCGGTGAGTAATTAATATAGAAATGGTCATTTTCTGGGTGAAGTAGTCCTTGAAAGGAAAAAAAATACACAGTATTTGGGGAGCAACTTCAATGAAAAGTGAATTGGTTGAAGCAAAACAAATGGCTGCAATTGGATTCTCGCTTATCGATAATCTAGCAAATGTTAATCCTTAAGATTTGACCTTCTTAAGCATCACTTGTGTTAATGTGTTCTCCAGGAGGGCAGGCTCGCCCCGCAGCCCAGCTGCTGAACACTGATCCTGAACCCTAGGGTTTCAGAGGAGGCCTCTCTGGAGAGTTCCAGGTAACTTTATCTAAAAACAGTATAAAGACACATTTCAAATGTTTTGCTATGTCCCCAGTGTGCAGTAATAGACATCATTAATAAGACAAGTGTTGTGTTCTCACTTAATTATCCATCAGCGTAGGTCAAAATAAATATGAATGAACTAAATATGTGTTCTTTCAGAGAATGCTGCCCTGCCACGGAAGCAGGGACCAGTTCAGACATCCTCTCATGGCGTCGGTTTAGCGCACCAGACCATTGTAGGTGTGAATGCACCCACAAAAACTCAAATGGACTATACACTTTAAACACAAGTCATGTGCACGGAAATACTGTTCAACTGTTAAAAATGTAATACTTGAATGTGTTTTGTCATTTTATCTACACTGGAAATAACTTGTTAAAAAAAACAGTGCATACTGGGCATATCATATATTTCATTTACAGAGGTTTGAAGCTATAGCAGGTGTCACAGATTATAGCTTTACAACAATCAATATTATTGTGCTTTGTCGTAAAATACATAATTTGTTGTATAAAACTATACAACAAAAATAAATGGTGTAAAGGCTTTGGCTGCTTAACGGAAATTAACCAAAGCCGGAAGTAGAAGGGAGGGAGTTCTCTTGCGCTGCATGTGTGTTCTCGGTGTTATCTTTTCTCTCAGCTCCGGTTTTGTGTGTGTTGGGGCAATGCGGGAGATGAGTCTGGATCATGGATGTATAATAAGAACTGGATACAGCGTGGGAGGCGGGGCCTCATTCATTCCTATGAGAGCTGCTCATTAGCACATGATGATAAAATGGCCCAACTTTTGAGAGAGTGAAACGTCACAGATTACCCAGCATGCCTGAGAAGTACGTGCACTCATAGAGCATGCGCAACTTTAACCAAAATGCTCGTTCACATCAAGCACGTCAATTTGCGTACACGTAACAGCACCGCGCGTTCATGACAACATGGTAATGGATTGTTGTTATCATGGATTTGATATGAACGAGGCGGCAGTTAGCAGCTAGCGGCTAGCTAGTAATGATGCTAATGTACACATCAATCGTTATGTACTTATATTACGCTGTAACAGGATCTAGTGATATCCAACAGAGCTTCATTTAGCATGAAATAATTATTGCACTGTATATATATATATATATATATATATATATTTATATACAGTGCAATAAGCTTCTTAGTGCAATAAGGAGCTACAGGGACGTTAATCTAACGTCGGTAATATTAACTTTATTTAATACAACATTTACGGTACAAGATTTAATCATACAGCCCATGTAGTATACTATTTTACAAATTATGAATTACAGCAAACATGTGCAATATATCCATTATTACAGCTCCGTGGGCTGGCAGTAAGGCGATATGGGTCCGTTGTTATTGTGCATCCATGGGTAAAGATAAACGCATGTAGTGCTGAACACGTAACATTAACGTGCAGGGGGGCGCGGTCCCGTGGGTTAGATGCGCGTTCATAATGCAGAGGGAAATAACTCTCAGAATAACGTTATTAGCACATTTTTACAACTTGAGGAACGAATGTTTTTAATAAGGGCTATACAAGTGTTCATACTGTGTAGTTTATTTAGTTTAAAAAAAATTATCCAACGATTTACAGACCATTCTTTCCCCATGTAAGTCAATGGGAAAAAGTGTTTCCGGGCCTGGCAACCAAACGGATGTGCAGTACCGCCATTTGGCCAGCACGAATATTTCCATCTGAGTCCGGCGCACTTCCTGGGGGCTTGGTAGTGACAAGCAACTCTCATAGGAATGAATGAGGCCCCGCCTCCCACGCTGTATCCAGTTCTTATTATACATCCATGGCCGCAACCATGGATGTATAATAAGAACTGGATACAGCGTGGGAGGCGGGGCCTCATTAATTCCTATGAGAGCTGCTCATTAGCGCAGGATGATAAAATCGCCCAACTTTTGAGAGAGTGAAACGTCACAGATTACCCAGCATGCCTGAGAAGTACCCGTATGTGCACTCATAGAGCATGCACAACTTTAACCAAAATGCTCGTTCACATCAAGCACGTCAATTTGCGTACACGTAACAGCACCGCGCGTTCATGACAGCATGGTAATGGATTGTTGTTATCATGGATTTGATATGAACGAGGCGGCAGTTAGCAGCTAGCGGCTAGCTAGTAATGATGCTAATGTACACATCAATCGTTATGTACTTATATTACGCTGTAACAGGATCTAGTGATATCCAACAGAGCTTCATTTAGCATGAAATAATTATTGCACTGTATATATATATATTTATATACAGTGCAATAAGCTTCTTAGTGCAATACGAAGCTACAGGGACGTTAATAATGTCGGTAATATTAACTTTATTTAATACAACATTTACGGTACAAGATTTAATCATACAGCCCATGTAGTATGATAATGAATTACAGCAAACATGTGCAATATATCCATTAGTACAGCTCCGTGGGATGGCAGTAAGACGATATGAGTCCGTTCTTATTGTGCATCCATGGGTAAAGATAAACGCAACTCACATTGGTTTCTCAAACAGCATCTCTGTAAACTACGTGTATTCACTGAATTTCACTCTCTGCCTTTAACGGCTCGTTGTAGCTCCAATAGCTCCAATAGCTCCAGCCCCCACCCTCCCTGTGAGCAGTGTGCTCTGATTGGTCGGGACACGTAACATGAATGTGCCGGGCGGCGCGGTCCCGTGGGTTAGATGCGCGTTCATAATGCAGAGGGAAATAACTCTCAGAATAACGTTATTAGCACATTTTTACAACTTAAGGAACGAATGTTTTTAATAAGGGCTATACAAACGTTCATACTGGGTAGTTTATTTAGTTTAAAAAAAATTATCCAACGAGTTACAGACCACTCTTTCCCCATGTAAGTCAATGGGAAAAAGTGTTTCCGGGCCTGGCAACCAAACGGAAGTGTAGTACCGCCGTTTGGCCAGCACGAATATTTTCATCTGAGTCCGGCGCACTTCCTGGGGGCTTGGCCGCAACGCGTCTCAAACAAGCCTACTACTTACTTCCGGGTGTACAATTCTCTGTTATCCAATGGGAATGGACGCTCACATTGCCTTTAAGGGCAGCCGACACAAACGAATACCGTGCTTCCATGAGCGTCAAATCCCGCCGCAGATGGGAATACATTGAAATCAGTTGAAAGCTATTTGCGTCCCTTTATGAAGCTGAAGGAGCCTAGGAGCTTCACAACTGCACGCCACGGGACCCTGACCAAGCGTCGCTCCTGGACGATTATGGAGTGAGAGTGTGTTGGATTCTGTGACATAGCTTTAATGCAAATTAGCTGCAGCTGACCACGCCCCTCTGCAGGAGAGGGGAGCGTGCTTTGAGATCACCTGCTGGGCTCTCAGAAGAGGGGGAGAAAAAGAGATCTCCGTCCTCCGTGTTTTATTCTTATATGATTTATATAGAGTCGTTATTCATTTGTTTTAAAGTTCAATAAATAACAAAGACTACCTTTGACCGGCACTTTTCTTTTAATTTAAACTTTAACGGACATGTTGACCGGCGAAAGCAAATCTAACTGAAACTCTGCTGCATGGTCCCCTCGTTCCTTGGAAGAGGCGGAGAGGTGGGTGTTTGTCATCTGCTGGTGGCAAACCGGAGAGAATACGCTACATGTCATGCACAGTCACTTCCGCATTGTGCGTAGTACTTTGGACAAAGGGTTCAAGTTATATGCTGCATCATATATTCATGATTACGAAGGTAAGACAAAATTATAAACGGATTGACTAGTTAACTAGCTAATGCTAATGTCAAATGCAAGCTTTTGTTGTACAAATTCGCTATTTATAATCGACACTTTTGT